TCTATTTATAAAGAGCCGGGTGGGCATTTTAAGTGTCAGAGCTGTTGGGGAGCACAGAAGTGAGGAGAGTTTCTCCCTCCCTCATTGACCAAGGGAGGCAGAGGACCCTACTGTAGATCAGGTATTCCTTTATCCCAAGGTTGTCTATTTTCAGGGATGGGGGAGAGGATATTGTCGAGAACGTAAGGAAAGGTTTATTTTCAAGAGCTCGAAAGCCATCTGTTGACATATTGAACCGTCTCTCGTTTATTCTTATTTCCCCGAGCAGCTAGCCATGCAATCCCCCAAACTCAATTACCTTTTGTGAGGCGGCAGGAGCATGACACGTCCTAGCCGTATTGATCAGTGCAGACTGAGCAGGACGTGAGAGACCCGAGAGATGCTAAGCAGTGATTTCTGGGCTTTTCCTTCCCTAGAAGGCCTCCCCTCTCTGTGTTCGTAGAGACACTGGCACTAATAAAATGGAATTCTGGGCCCTAAATGGACTGAGCATGCAACCGTGTCTCTCTCTCTAGCCTCTTTAGAAGTATCGTGATGATGAATGGTCACAATAGACCAGAACTTGGGATCCTGGAGTGACTAGTGCCAGAATGGTTTTTCAACTGGAGCTCTTTGCACACACTGGGTTTTGCAAGCAATTGCATGATATGAACTCTGAATGCCATTGCAGCTAGAAAAAGTTTGGAAGGAGACACACCCAACTGTGAACAGACGGAGGAACAGGACTTGAGGGGTGGGGGGTGGGGTAGTCTCAGGACTAGCTTTATCTGCCTGTAGGATTTCAGGTTTTTATCCTGAGAATATATTCTAGATTATTTGTGTCATTATTAAGCACAAATACAAGTTAGAAAAATGAGGAATTGTTTTTCAAAAACAAAAAACAGAATAAAATACAACATAAACACAAGCCATTGGAGACATTTGTCAGAGGTCACTACTGACTGAGGAGTCGAGTGGAACAAGCATTAAGTGTGTTTGAAGAGAAACGTTGCTTGGGTTGGGGAGATGTTGGGGATCCCCAGAGTAGAGCATGCAGGGAGCGCAAAGGAGAAGGCTCAACAAAAAACCCCAGGGGAACACACCTTTTTGAAAAAGAAAAATAACTTTTTCCCCTTCTGAACGCAAGCAATATGGGTCCATTATAGACAAATGAGAAAACACAGCTGAGTAAAAGAAAAGCAAAAATCCCCTTTAATCACACCACTCAGGTATGGTCACCATTAACATTTTGGTCTATGTCCTTGCAGACTGTAATTGTTTCTATGCAAAAATATATGTAGTTCTTTTGTAACAGACAGATCATCATTTTCGATGGCTGCTACAAATCCACCATCATTTGTTTAATCATTTGATGAATTGTGTTCTAACACTGGCATTTGGGGTCATTTCCAAATTGTTACTGTCATAAACAGTAGTGCTTCCTACCTGGGGTGCACAGTGCCTGACACAATAAATGCTAACTCTCACGATCAGGTATAATAATAGCTGTTGTTGTTCTTATTATTGTTGGCTTTCCTGTGAGCATCTTTTGGTTCAGGGGACAGAGCAAACCTCTGGAGTGAAATGGAGTCAGAGTCAGGCCTCAAACCAAGGCTCAGTTTTCTAATCTGTAAAGTGTAAAGTAGCTCACAAGGTAGCTGTGAGCATCAAAGGAGGGAATGCTCGCAAAGCCCTCAGCACAGTTCTTGGCAAGTGGGAAAAGCTCAAACAATGTCAGTTATTATTATTATTATTATTATTATTATTACTGTTACTATTATTATTATTACAATGAGTCAGCCACTGATTGGGGTGGAAGGAGGAAGTCGAGCACTTGGAACATTTCTAGCCACTTGTCTGACTCTACAGAGAGGAAATGATTTGAGGATCAGAGTGACTTGGGCTCTAATCTGAGCTTTGCCATTTACTACCTCTGTGACTTGGTCACCACTTCTCTCAGCCTGTTTATTCATTTATAAAATGTGAATGGCATCAGCAGCCCACCTGACAGGGCTAGAGGACATGATACAAGTATATGCTCAGCCTGAGTGTGCAGGTAATGTTGCTTCCTAATTATGACCATGGGAAGGTTTGTAAATGACCTGAACTCCTCCCCACCCCCTGCCCACCTCAGACTCTGCGTCCCTATACCTGGGCCAGTTGAACTTCACCTAAAGGCTTTGTCTTATCCAGGGCTCAGAGACCAATTCTGCCCCTAGTCTGCTGGTTAAAAGGATACCGATTCGGAAAGTTAGAGGGCCCTGCTAAACCTTGCTGTGAGGTCTACTTTGACCTTGTGCCCCAGTTCTAGAAAGCAGGCTGGAGCCCTGCTTCTGTGAGCGAGCCCTCACCTGGTATACTCAAGACCAGTGTGCTTTCTTTTCTTGCCAGCTGTCTGAACACCCTAAAACCTTGCTGTCAAGTTCTAGCCCAGTGGAAGGGACCCTGGTTGCCAGATTTCCCTCTATGTATCTGACATTAAGGGCATATCGGCTCTTTTATTATTACTGTTGCAGCCCTCTATTAGTAGCGCCCATGGTCCATCCTCCCAAAACCTGGTTTCCCTGAACCTGAAACTCTTGGAACTCTTCTGTCTAGTCCCCTCAACCTCCGGCCCCAGCTCCCCTTACCTCTAACCCCAGCCTGCCCTTCCACATCCCACCGGTTACATTGCCTGGCTCCCAGGACTCCCGTGTCTGCTCAGCCATAGGAGATATGTCTCATGTCGGTCTCACCTCTTTAGCTGTGTGAATCTCTTCTTTTCTCTGGGGCAGCCAGAGGCGGGCATTAGTGGGCTGGTGCTACTATTAGGGGTTGGGGGGGGGGGAGAGGGGTGGAGTTGCATAGGCCCAGTGCTAAAGCGGAGCTTCTGGAGGGCTGTCAAATGAAAGGCGGCCAGAGGCAAATGTCAGAGCCTATATAGAGGCAGGAATCTGGGACCAGAGAGACGGAGCAAGCACTAGCAAGTCAGGAGCAGTGGGGCGGGCTGGCTGGCGGGCGGGCAGGAGGGAGGCGTGGCAGGGGATAGCTAAGGGAGATTGCAGAGAACAGCTGCTGCTATTGAGTCTTACTTTAATGAACTGGCTGGGCATGGGGCATAAGTAGATTGGCCAGACTAAAAGAGCTAGGGGCGCAAAGGACATACTCCCTTTCTTCTCCCTAACTGGTAAGGTAAGATCTTTCTGGGTTTTGCCTGGTGAAACTGCAGCATGTTCAGGGATTTTTTTCTTGAGGATGGGAAGTGGACATCTACAAATGCTCTCTGGACTCATCTTTCCCGTTGCACCGATTATCAGAGTCATCAGGGAGCCGGCTGGAGGCCAGTATTTCTTCTGCTATGCCCCATCTCAGAGTTGTCCAGGCTAGGAATGGGAGGGGGGTGTTGGTGATGTGACTAAGAGAGAGAGGAGACAGAAAAGGTGGGTCATTAGAGCACAGTGAGAGAGCACATTAGGACACGGTAGGGGGCTCTGGCATCGAACATACCCCTGGCAACCTGTGGGATGGCAGGCAAATTATTAAGCTTCTCTGGGCCTTAATTTTCTCATTTGTAAGATGAAGATGGAGTCCCAGAATCCCTTAGTGTTGTTGTGGGGACCAAATGCGATGACACATACGAAGTGCCTAGCAGAGTGTTTGCCATTCAGTGCATGCTGAAGAAATGTTCACTTTCGGGGTTTTGTTTTTGTTTTTGTTTTTTGGTCGGTGTTCATTGTTGCCAGCAGTTTTGTTATTCTTATAGAGACACGATGACACACGACTGATGACTTTTGTGACATTGTCTCAAATAAGCATGTATTCCGTTTTTGGCATGGGCGGGCTGTGGGGATGCATCAACATTGTGTAATGTGTGCATTGGTTTCCCAGGTATGTGCCAAGAAGCCCCTCTGGGGCTGCTTATTGGGGGAGGGTAGGAGAGGGTGAAGCTCTGGGATTGTCTACCCGTGCGTCATCAGAGAAACTGGACATTTGTACATGCTATATCGACTAGTATTCAAGTGATGTCAGAGTGATAACTGAATGCGGCATTAGGGATGCCAAAGGTTAGGCAATACTGAGGAGGGGATGATAGTAAAAAACCATACAGTTTTTGCTGTCACAGTGACCCTATTTTAGCCCCAACCCGGGCTGATCCGAGAAAGCTGGTAAAATGGGAATCATAATGCTATCACACAGGGTGTAAGATTCAAACGAGATAATGCTGGCCAATCTCTGTACATTATAGACAGTTTAAAGTTGTGTACAGTTGTCTAAGTATGGTGCCTGTAGTGCACTAAGTGAGCAATGCATTGTAGTAATAGTAGTGGTTGCTGTTTCTGTTAGTAATAATACAAATGATAATAAACAGGATTTTCAGTTCATGGAATGGTACCCCCGGTCACAGATCAGAGCAATGCCTTTCTTTTCCTGAGAAAGACATTCAGGGCCATCAGAGTAGTAAAATAGGGACTAATCCCTTGGAAGGACTCAATGAGCCCTGGGAACTGATGATTATCCTGGGGCAAAGGCTTTCTCATCCAGGTCCCCCCAGGCCCGGGCCGTTCCTTGGCTGCCTTGGCTGCCTTGTGAGTGCGCTGCTGGGATACAACATAGCCCAGGTGCCTGCACTTCTCACAGTTTCCCAGAAGGTGGTGCTGCCGCTTCATTTGATCTGGGACTGCCTGAGCTCCAGGCCGCCTAGATAGCTGGCATCTAGAGCATTTATAAATGGAAAAGGCTGTGCTGTGTCACTGAGTGGATTGGTTTGAAAAGAATAGGGGTGGAAGGGATCTTTGCTCCAACTTCAGATTTGTTCATTGTCGCACAGCTTCTTTAACATGATAGGGCCCATCTCTGGTGCTGGTAGCATGTGAGAACACTCTCCATCACGAATCAATCATTTGTCTGCTCCCTGATCTTTTTGATATTGGCTTTTGACTACTTGACTTGTTTCCTGTTTACAGATTTTCTTGCCATTTGGGCTTCAGCAAGACTCCTCGATATCATCACTTTAGGGGCTCTCTCCACACCATTTTGTGCCCATGGCAGATATGTCAATACCTTTACACTCACTCCGATTCAACAATACGCTGAGGGAGGAAAATCTTGACCCCCCAAACAGCGGGATGACCTTCTCTGGACCAATAATGGAGACCAGGGCAGAGGTCCAAATTTCACATTCTCATGTACAATCTATAGTCTCCACTTCAGTGTCAGACCCTGAAGGGATGTCTGCACAGCTGATGACATCCCCAGCCTTTGACACCACATCCGTACCTCTAATGGAAGCACCAAACTCTGGAGCACTGTCCCCATCACTAATGCCAGGCTCAGATTCTGGGGCATTGTCCCCATTGCTAATGGCAGCTTCAGATTCAGAAGCACTGTCCCCATTGCTAATGCCAGCCTCAGATTCTGGAACACTGTCCCCATTGCTGTCCGCTTCAGACTATGGATTAATGTCCCCAGGGTTGATGACAATTCCTGACTTTGGAACCATGTCCACAGCACTAATGGCAGCACCACATTCAGCAGAGATATCACCATTGGCAATGCCAGCTTCATCCTCTGGAGCAATGTCTACATCTGTAATGAGCACTTCATCCTCTGAAGTGATACCCACACCATTGATGCTGGCCCCAGATCCTGGAGAGATATCTCCTCTCCTAATGCCAGATATAAACCCTGGAGTGATGTCCACACAGCCAATGCCAGCTCCAGGCTCTGAAGCAATGTCACCATTGCAAATTACAGATGAAGACACTGAAGCAATGTCTCAAGTACTAATGACTGCTCTGGCCTCTGGAGAGATATCTTCACTGTTAATGTCAGGCACAGACTCCGAGGCGATATCCTCACTGATAATGTCAGCCCTTGCTTCTGAAACAATGTCAAGCCAGCCAACGAGCACCCAGGACTCTGGGGAAATGTCCACCCAGCTAATGTCAGGCCCAGATTCTGGAGTAGTGTCTTCACTGCTAGTGTTGGCTCCAGGTTCTGGAGCAATGTCCACACCACTCCTGTCAGCTCCAGATACTAGAGAAGTGTCCACATTGCCAAAGCCAGCTCCAGACACTGAAGCAGCGTCCCCACTGCTAATGACAGCCCTAACCTCTGGAGTGATGCCCACCCAGCCGATGTCAGCCCAAGACTCGGGACTGATGTCCCCACAGTTCACACAAAATCTAGACTCTCAAGTCATGTCTACTCCACCAATGAGAACAACAGCCTCTGGTGGGTTGTCCACGGTGCCAGTGAGAGCTACTGACCCCGGAGCAATGTCCATACCACAGATGAGAGCTCTGGCCTCTGGCAATATGGCTTCATTGCTAAAGACCATTCCAGACTCTGAAGCATTGTCCACCACACTGATGACGGTCACAACTTCTGGAGCAATGTCTGATAAAATGTCAACCACAGCCTCTAAAGTAATGCCTTCACAGTTAACAATGGCCAGAAATTCTGGAGCAATGTCTACAGGCTTTATGAAAGCCACAGCCAGTGGGGCAATGTCAACCCCACAAATGAGATCCCCGGCTTCTGCAATGACGTCCACACCGCTAAGGAGAGCCCCAGTCTCTGGAGCAATTTCCACACAGCCAGTTACAGCCCAAGCCTCTGAAACAATGCCCACACTACAACTTTCAGCATCAGCCTCTGGGTCAATGTCTACACTGCAAATGAGAACCCCTGTCTCTGGAGCAATGTCTATATCACAAAGGAGAGCCACAGCGTCAGGAGTGACAGCTGTACCACAGTTGAGAGCCTCAGCCTCTGGAGCACTGTCTACACTGTTAATGAGAGACATGGCCCCAGGAGTGATGTCCCTGCCGCAAATGAGAGCTACGGCCTCGGGAGCATTGTCCAAGCCACTAATGACATCCAAAGCCTCACAAACAATGTTCCTACAGCAAATGACAACCACAGCTTCTGGAGAGAGAGCCACAATGCTAATGAGAGATACAACTTCTGGAGCTATGTCCATGCAACAGATGACAGACACCACTTCTGCAGGGATGGCTACACCACTAATGAGAATCCCAGCCTCTGGAGACATGTCCACACCACAAATGACAGCTGCAGCTTCTGGAACTATGTCCATGCCTCTACTGGGAGCCCCAGACCCTGGAGCAATGCCCACAGTGTTAATGAGATCCACACCCTCTGGGAAGGTGCCCAGTCAGCCAATGAGCACCCAAGACTCTGGAGGGATGTCCATGTCGTTCATGAGATCCAGGATCTCTGGAGGGATGTCCCCACTGGAGATGCAAATCCCAGCCTCTGAAATGATGTCCACACCAAAAATGAGAGCCCCGGCCTCTGGGGTGATATCCACACCACTAATGAGAGCCCCAAACTCTGGAGAGATGTCTGCACTGTTCACAAGAGCTTCATCCTCTGGAGAGATTTCCCCACCATTAATGAGAACCCCAATTTCTGGAGAGATAGCCACATCCTTGAGAGTCCCAGCTTATGGGACAATGTCTACTCCACAAATGATGGCCTCAGCCTCTGGAGTGATGCCCATGCCACAAATGAAGGCTCCAGTCTCTGGAGAAAAGTCCACACCACTAATGAGATCCACTGCTCCTGGAGTAATGTTCATGCCTCACATGACAGCCACAGCCTCAGTAGGGGTGTCCATGCCACTGATGAGAACCCCAGCCTCTGGAGCAACATCTGCACCCCAAATGATGCCCACAGCTTCAGGAGAGATGTATACACTGCCAATGCGAGCTCCAGCCTCTGGAGTAATGTCTCCACCACTAGCAAGAGCCCCTGTCTCTGGAATGACATCCACACCACTATGGAGACCTTCTGCCTCTGAAGCCGTATCCACAGAGTTATTGAGAGGTCCAGCGCCTGGAAAGATGTCCACTGCACAAATGACAGCCATGGCCTCTGGAGGGATGTCCAAGCCATTAATGAGAGCCACAGCCTCTGGAACAATGCCCATGCCATTGATGTCAGCCATGGCTTCTGGAGACATGTCTGTGCCGCTAATGAAAAGCATGGCCTCTAGGGCAATGTTCACACTGCAAACAAGAGTCACGAGTTCTGGATCTATGTCCTTGCCGCATACAACATACACAACTTCTGGAGGGATGCCTGCACTGCCAATGAGAGCCTCAGCTTCTGGAATGATGTCCATGCCACTTCTGAGAGCCACAGCCTCTGGAGGGGTGTCCACGCCACAAATGACAGCCATAGCCTCTGAAGGGGTGTCCATGAGGACCCCAGTCCCAGGAACCATGTCCACACCACAAATGGGAGCCACAGCCTCTGGAATGATGTCCACTCTGGAAATCAAAGCCACAGACTCTGGAGAAACACCTGCCTCTCACATCAATGTCACAGCCTCTGGATCAAAGTCCACACCACACATGGCTGCCCCAGCTGCTGAAGCAATGAACACACCACCAAAGGAAGTCCCATCCTTCGGCATGCTGACCCCAGCACTCTGTTACCTCTTAGAAGAACAGGAAGCAGCCCGGGGTTCGTGTTCTGTGGAGGAGGAGATGGAGATTGATGAGGAGAAGCAAATGAAGGGCTTTTTGAATGACTCAGAGAAAATGGCATTTCTGGTGTCTCTTCATCTGGGGGCAGCAGAGAGGTGGTCCATCTTGCAGATGGAGGTAGGAAACCCCGTATCAGATGAAAATAAATCTTTCCTGAGCAGATCACAGGGCTTGTATGACTCCCTATCAGAGATAGACATCCTCAGTGCTGTACTTTGCCATCCCAAGCAGGGCCAGAAGTCAGTCAGGCAGTATGCCACTGACTTCCTGCTGCTGGCCCGACATTTGTCTTGGTCTGATGCCATTCTACGGACCAGGTTTCTGGAAGGGCTCTCGGAAGCTGTTACCACCAAAATGGGCCGGATCTTCCTGAAGGTGGCCGGCAGCCTAAAGGAGCTGATAGACAGGTCTCTCTACACTGAGTGCCAGCTGGCTGAAGAGAAGGGTTCCCCAGGCAGCTCAAGCCAGGTTCTGCTCTCAGCCTGTAAGCGGAATAATGAGGAGGCGATGGAGAATGAACTGAACCCTTATCAGCAGACTGAGGAGGTAATGATGGGGAAATACACTCAAGGGGAGTGGTGGGGAGTGATGGGGGAACACACCCTGCTCCTTTGAGTAGAGTAAGGAAGAGGCAAGGGGGAGGCACTGATCTTCAAGACTATACTCCCCAACCTGGCATTTCATCAGTGGCCTGGCTATGTAGTTATTTTGGGTGTATTAAGCACTTTGAAGCAATGCCCTGCTCAATTTCTTGGGATGGCTAAAGGTCTAGGTCTTCTGATTATGAGGGAACCGGCTGGGTCTCAACTGTCCAATTATTCTAAGGGAGGGGTCATCTTTGGGGGGAAGGCTGGGTCCTACCTCCAGGCACTTGTGTCAGGGACCCAGGTCAGTAGGGAGTTTGGCTAACCTAGTCCTCAGTCACACATTATGCACATAAGGTACATTAGCCAAGTTTTTTGAACTGCTAAGTTACTGTCATTATCCAGGCAGAATCCCCTTGTCATAGTGAGTGTGGCTCTTACCTCTGCTGGTTTTTCTGTTTGTTTGTTTTCTTACTCCCAGCACCAGCATGTTCCTAAACGCTGTTACTACCTGAAAGAGCATGGAGACCCTCAAGAGGGTCTGCATGACCACCTTCGACAGAGCACAGGCCATCACAAGGCCCCCACCAACAAGTAATTCTTTCTGGAATCTTCTCCTGTGATGTCTGACTCCGCTGCTAACTTGAGGACTGGTTCCTGGACCCATTCCATTCAATTACATCATAAACCTTGTGGCCTTCCCCCTACAGTCTCCCCCTCCAAGCACATCCCACCTAACTCCCAGTTGGTTGACTTGACCTTCTCTTTTACCCTACATGCCTGTGACATACCCTGACAATCAGAGTGTGGACTTCAAGAGTGTTTGGTGTACGAGGTTTTGAACTCCTATCGCCGTGGAGACCAGTCATAGTTCCTGGTCCAGGGAGAAGTCTAGGCAGGGGAAACCATGTCCTACCTCAGAAACACCTAGAGTGTCTTGCCACATGTCATCAGGCAGATGTGAGGGTGTCCTGGTCCCATTTCCCCTGGCAGGGGAGTCTATAAGGAGAGTGATGCCCACTCCCAAACCACCCTTTTCATATGCCCCAACTCATAGCACTTAACATGGGTCTCCAGGGCCCTTGACTTGTTTATAGTTTCCATCCTGAACCATTCATTTTGACCCATGGTAGTAATCATAGTAATGGCTAACACTTATTGATTATGTATTATGTGACAGGTATTGGGCTAAACTCTTGACAAGCGCCATCTCACTACATTCTTATCATAACCCAACTTGTTCTTGTGTTGTCAGCTTCTGACTTCTTGATCTTTTCTCTCTGGCCCTTTTGTTCCTCAGTGTCAAATCGCTAGCTCTGACTTCTTGGTGGCCCCTTGAGTAATTAATTGCCCCTGCTCTCCATGGCTATTGTGGCTATTTGTGGCCAACACTCTTGATAAAGCTCTTGCTCTTTAAACAGGCATAGATAGTTAGAACGTAATATGAGCAGTGTTTGCCTTCAGGTGGTGGGATTGTGGGTGTTTTTTACTTTCTTCTTTCTAACTTCTCTGTACTTTCCAGATTCTCTGCAGTAAGCATGTATTACATTTGTAATCATAAAAGTAAATAAAGTTCATTTATGAAAGAAAGAATTAGCTGTGGCTAACAGAATTTGGTTTCTTGAGTCCCTTGTTCAATCAATATTTATTAGCTCACGTGTCAGCCACTGTTTAGGGACAGACAAAAACCCTGACAGAATGGAATCGTCATTCCAGTGGAGGGAGGAGACAGACAATAAGCAAGAAAACACATCAGTGAGATTGATGGAAATCGTGGTAAAGGTTATGAAGTCAAGAAATCAGGATAATGGGGAAATTTGATACTAACAGGGCCAATTTATTTATTTAATAATAGTCCATGTAATTGGGCTTTTAAAAGATCTTTTAAAAACAGTAAAACTGGCATGATGAGAAACATATTTTAGAAAGCTAACTTGGCAACACTTTGTAGGCAGGATGGGGGGAAGGGGTTAGAGAGCATTATGAGCTTCCTATCACATTAGTACAGGTGACTGGCTTGCCAGCTGACTCAGTCTGGGGCTGTGGGAGTGAGGCTGGAAAGAGAAGGACAGAGACCAAACCCTCTCTGAGAACTCAACTCCACTGCTCCATTGCCCTAAACTTTGGGTCTGATTCCAGGAAAAGGAAAATGATTCTCAGAAAAAACAAAGATTGGCAGACAAATTAACAGCCCCATGGTAATATAGATAAGCATCTGGCTCTGCAGGCTGCCTGTGGATCTATCAATCATCAGTGCTGTTGCCTCGGGGGAAAAAAAGAGGGGGCAATAAGTTGGGAAACCAAATTCTAGGTGGGGAGGCGGCGGGCCCCTGGGGACCCAGTTTTCCCCTCATCTTCTGCCCCATTGGCTCACAGTGGGCCCAATCCAGGCCCCAGTGGAATTTGGATCTCCATGTTCAGCTAGAGTTGCTCTTAGCTTGGCAAAGCCCTGTCCAGCTTACTATCTACTGAAGAAGGAATGGACATACAGAATCACAATTGGTGTCTGGGAAATGTACATAGGAAAGAAAAGGTCTTAAAGATGGAACTGATTTTCTTATAGCCATGACCATGGAGAACAAAAGCAATTCTTTTTTCAAGAAAATTTAACCTTGAAGTATAGTTGACAGTTCTATACATTATTCAGTGCTTATTGCGATAAGTGGACTCACCACCTGTCACCATACAACATTATTACAGGACAATTGACTATATTTCATCTCCATGGCTTATTTATTTTATAGCTGGAAGTTTGTACCTATTAATCAATCCCCTCATTCGTTTCTTTATTTTTCTCTCCAGTCATTCTTTTTACCTTTGCTTTTCCCTCTCTTCTTCTTTAAGCTACTTTTGCTAGAGATAAATGGAACAACTGAAGCCCAATCAGACCCTGCCAGAGTTCAAGCCCCACTCCTTTACCCGCCCCAAAGGTTATATTTAGAAATGTTTCAAGAGCCACTTGGCATCTACATAGAGCTGGGCTATCATATGCCCAAGTACTTGAGACAATTTTGTCTGCTATAAAACAGTGTTTCAAGTTTCTCCTGGCCTCACTGGCCTGCGGGTAAAAATAAGGTCCCATAAGCAGTAAAAAACTCAGATGGCGCCGATCCCTGTCCCCGCTTGTGTGTCACATGACTTCAATCCCTTGAAGGTTTCTTCCAGTGATTTGTGGAAGACCCTGGAAGTTTCCTGTATTCTGAGAGAGCTCTCTCCTGTTGTTCTCTGGCTCCTATGCTGTCTCATGGAGGGCCGCTGCCCATGTTGCCACATGAGGATATCCCTTCCCAGATGCTTACTGGTGGGCACCTCCTCTGGCTCTGGGAACACAGAGGCTCTTGCCAGGATGGGGCATGGAGTGCTGCTGCCTTCCCTTCAGGCAGCTTTGGCTGAAGTCACTGATGGTTCACAGGGGTAGGGGATAGGGGGTGGGGGGTAGTGGCAGTGGTGATGGTGGTGGTGGTAATTCCCCTCTCCATTCTGTGCCACACTCTGCCATTTTGTCATTCGGACTCCGAAACATTGCTTTTATCTTGTATCCCAGTGAGGTCCATGGGAGAAGAGCAGCTTCAGTTGCTCCCTGCGGCAACCTCTCTGTCGCCCGCCCTTCATCGCCCCAGCTCAGTCTTGAAATACAAAAGCCACCACGTCCTCTATCCAGACACAACCTTCAACTGCCATTTTTACATCTCTCGCTGTGCCCCTTGAGGCACTGTTCAGTCCACAGATCTCTTCAACCCTCTATCCTCCATGTGAATAGATGCCAGGAACTGTTTCCGCATGCCCAGTCCTGGGGCCTGGGTGGAGAGCAAATCCCACTCTGTCTTTTTCCTCTACCTTTCTTCTATTCTCTCATCCACCATTTGCTCTCTGTCTCTTCTCCTCAGGGATCCATAGGATATAAAACCTTCCCTTAGGGCACCTGGGTGGCCTAGTCGGTTGAGCATCTGACTCTTGGTTTTGGCTCAGGTCACAATCTCACGCTTTCGTGAGTTTGAGCACTGCACCTTGCTCTGCTCTGACAGCTTGGAGCCGGCTTGGGATTCTCTATCTCTCTGCCCCTCCTCTGCTTGTGCTGTCTTTGTCTCTCACAAAATAAATAAAAAGAAATTTAAAAACAAACACAAAAACAAAAACCCTTCTCTTGACGAAACAGTTTCTCCCAGCAAGTATAGAATTGGGCTGCCACAACGGGGCGCCTGGGTGGCTCAGTCAGTTGAGCGTCCGACTTCAGTCCAGGTCATGATCTCACAGTTCGTGGGTTTGAGCCCCGTGTCGGGCTCTGTGCTGACAGCTAGCTCGGAGCCTGGATCCTGCTTCTGATTCTGTGTCTCCCTCTCTCTCTGACCCTCCCCTGCTCATGCTCTCTCTCTCTCTCTCTCTCAGAAATAAATAAACATTAAAAAAATTAAAAAAAAAAGATTTGGGCTGCCACTGAGTGGCTTGAGACCTTGAAATACCTTCAATGTCATTCTCCAACCAGAACATTATAGATAAAATAACTTACCCCACTTCAAAGCTATAGAGAGATTTTTTTTTTTTTTACCTTTATGGATCATGTGTTTCCTTCCTTCTTACTTTGTCTGAAAGCTCTGTGCATCTTGAACACATGTGGAGTGGGGTAATCAGGCTGCTTGATTCCTTGTGATCTATTGGAAGATTTATAGGATGATAGATACTGCAGGCCACTTTACCTCTCAGGGCCTCAGTTTTCCCTCTTTTTTTCAAATAGGAATGATCATCACCATCCCGCTATCCTCACAGCATCGTGGAATAAAGGCTGTGAAAGCGTTTGGAAAATTCAAATGCAAGACATACAAATGTGAGATCTTGTTATTATCTGTAAACCTCAGCTCGGACATGAGGAGGGTAAGAAGTGGTTGGAATAGGGCTAGTGGGGACATAGCATCCAGTCTCTTCAGGGGTTCTATTTAAACTGCAGTGGGAGGGGCGCCTGGGTGGCTTAGTCGGTTAAGTGTCCGACTTTCGCTTAGGTCATGATCTCGCGGTTCGTGGGTTCGAGCCCCGCGTCGGGCTCTGTGCTGACTGCCAGCTCAGAGCCTGGAGCCTCTTTCAGTCTGTGACTCCCTCTCTCTCTGACCCTCCTCTGCTCATGCTGTCTCTCTCTCTCTCTCCTAGAAATAAATAAAACATTTTAAAAAAACCACATACGTGGTGATAATATTAAAAAATAAAAAGTAAAAAAAAATAAACTGCAGTGGGAGATCTTCTGGAGACTAGCAAAAGCCACATTTTCATATAAGTATCCATTTACCAGGGGCCCAAGCTCTGGAATAACTTTTTTATTTAATATTTATTTATAAGTGTTTATTTGTTCTTGAAAGAGAGACAGTACAAGTTTGAGAGAGGCAGAGAGAAAGAGACACAGAATCTGAAGTAGGCTCCAGGCTCTGAGCAGTCAGCACAGAGCCCAATGAGGGGCCTGAACTCACCGACTGTGAGATCATGACCTGAGCCGATGTTGGACGCTTAACTGACTGAGCCACCCAGGAGCCCCTGGACTAACTTCTTTACCTGCATTATCCCTCATCCTCTTCAAAACAACTGTGAGAGGTGGGTGCTCTCGTCAATCCTATT